ATTATCGATACAAATTAATTTCGTGCAACATGTTTTCACTATGCTTGTCCTGTCACATGGTATTGTGTCACTGTAGGAGCTAAAATGCTTATCGAGCTAAACGAAACGGACATACCAAACGCAGCTACGGTGTAGACAACACTTAATATATTTGCGTTTGAATTACGCCCCTGCGTACGACGTCGTATGGCCGAAGTAAGGGAAAAGGGGCGAACTGCACGGGCCAACGTCCGCCACGTGCCGTCACGTGACCGAAAAACTAATTGAGATATGAAATTTATTTGGCAACGCGTTGTCAGTTTCGATGTTCTTGATGAAAACTTTGCATCGTGCGACGCGTTTAATATCCCTGTTCTCTTACTTTTCTATTTCCGAATGATTGATTTCAGAGGTATATTGAGTCATTCTAATAGTTTGTATTTATCCATGGCAAGCAGGCATTTTAATTTCGTTCGTAATAAGAACTTTTAATTGACTTTTCATATGCGTACAATTAAAGAATAATGATTAATAAGTATTTTTCGTTCAAAAACAGTCTGAAAGATGTTTCAAGTATCATCTAGGTGAACTTTTGGAAGTTCGGTTAGACTGGTTAGAGTAATGATGTCTTTACGTCGTCTATAATAAAAAAAACTTTGGACCTCCATCGAGCAACAATAAATAACAATATCAACCTTTTTTCGCTGCTCATAAAACACTCAGAACCCTAACCCACGTCTTCCGACTCCACGAAGAAGAAGCTGAAAGACCTCGACGTATCCCGGCCTGTCGGTCGAACGATCAACAATTCACGATGCAATTAAAAGTAAAGTCGTCGGTCTCTGTCGTCCTCATCAATGTATGTGGGATCACCTGTAGGTGAGAAGACCAGTGTAACCATCGAAACGGTCGCGCTTGTAAATGCGCTCGCTCGGAAGGGGACGAGTATGCAACCCGATGAGCACCGTTCGCTATTTCGGCGCGCGAAATTAATCGTCCCCGCTCTGTCATTTCGATTTTGATCTTAACGGGCGAGAGCAGCGAGGCGTTATACGAGGCCGCTCGATATAGGTAGCAATCCGGTAGTCTGCAGTTAATTTAGAGGCCATTTCCTCTGTAAATAGCCAATAAAAGCACGGTGTGCGCTCGCGCGCGAGCACCAAGCCGGTCGGAGCGCGGCTCTCGCGCGCGGCCCTCATCCTGCGAACCCGCTGGTAGCTAGGTAGTTGAACAAGAGGGGTCGATGTCGAGGAGGGACGGGAGCGAGACGGGACGCAATATTATAAAATTTAATGTCTTGGTTTACGGGCCGCGGAGCCGGCTATAACCTCGCCCCGATATTTACTGGGCAATCGCGAGGCTATATCGTGTACCGATCCGAACCCCTCTTCCACCGTCCTCCTGTCTCTCAACGTTGTTTCACGTTGTTTCAAACACGATCTTTTCCCAACCTTTCGTTTAGGCCTCGAAGCATGTCTCGAGATAGACTTTCATTGACCAGTGTCTACGTCTGTCTTCTCGTTGATTGCGAATACTTTACAGGCTTTTGGAATGTCGAGATGAAGTTGAAGCATCTTATAACGTAGGTAATAAAATTAAAATTATCATTAATGCATGACGCCGCATTAATATTACATGTGCTTAATTTCGTATTCATATTCTCTATGAATATCAATTTTTATGAATGAAGAACTCTTTTAAAGATTGAACGTTTTAATATACACAGTGTTCGGCTAACCCTTGAGAAATAATCGTACTTTCTCTACTAGGAGAGCTAAAATCCATCAAAAATCAAGAGCTGTATATAGATTTGGTATTATGTTAGTAAAAATATCGTGTAATTTACTTGAATTTGTTTTAAAATTGCCTAAAATTTTGTGAAAGGAGACACATGGTTCCATGTGTATGTTACCTACGGTGACATTGGTTTCATTAATAAAGTTTTTCGGAATTGTGCAATGTAATACTCAACAGCATTTAATTGTAGTCTGAAATATTTCTTGTTGCTCACAAATAGTGGAATAATAGTGAATTGCTGTGCGGCGGAGCACTCTATATGTATGTACATACATATGTACATATGTATAATCATACATTTAAAATCGATGAACGAGACTTATTTCGAGTTGACGACAGACAGTAAACATAATTTAATTTTCAATGCGAATCTGCCATTCTTCCACAAGAATGCATTCATGATTGAAGAATGATCATCTGTAGTACAATCCAGTTCAGGCGTCCCAAGAATTTGAAAATAATTTTACGTTGTGCCTTGAATACCAATTTGTTGTGATTCCTAGCAAATGAGTTACCAAGAAAAGAAGTAAATACGACGAACCTGAAACCCTCGTGTGTACACTGGAGGAATAAAAAGACGTCTCGCAGTGCGCGTAGATGTTTTTTCCTTCGTCGACGTTAGGGTAACTAACGACAGGGTTGGATAAGAGATAGCGCCTCTGAGAAAAAGAGGTAGCAGCCACTCTTTAAGCTTACCCCGAAATGCTTTCCTGTATTTTCCTTGGAACGTAGTAATTTTTATGCACAATACAGTGCCTGTAACTATTTTTTCTTAGCTACCATAGATGATTTCAAAAATATGTTAGAAGTTCAGCGTAGAACGTTACAAAGATATTTGGTAAATTATCTTGTTCTTCATCTTTATTTCAATAATCGTAATATGTAGTACGTTATTTTGTTCATATAAGAGATATCGATATAAAATTAACACTATTCAAGATCCTAATTTATGTAATTACCATTAGTATATAATGCTATCTAAAGTAAATGTTCTCCAACGTACTATGGACTTTACTACTCCAATTTCCCTTCGCATCGTCAATTTACCACGTCGATCAATCGTAGACAAACGAACTTCCTTGCCGTCTTTCTCTACGATTATTGAACAGATTCATTATTGGTAATTTATAATAGTTGGTCAGTCAGTCGAGAGCCACGAAATCACATCGAAGAAAAGATTGGCCACGTGTGGTCCTTTAATTTTTTATTAGCCCAGGTGATGACGCGGTACCGGGGGGACCGAGATGTTTACGGTGATATAATGGCCGGGTGCAAAGGATTTTTCCGTGCGACTCGAGCCTTGAAAAGCAACCGGTCGGCTACGTGTGGGTGCGTTGTATTCGTGGTCGGGACGATATACGTAGATAGGGCGCGCGGAAGGATCTATCTCTGCCGGATAGTCCGGGTGGCTGCTCTTTCTCCGCATCAGCATGGGCGGGTGTGGGCCCGGCACATAGAAACGGCAAAACACAAGACACCGACGGCGGCGGAGAAGCCAGAGGAGGAAGAGCAGCAGCCACAGCCAGCTAGGGGAAAGGGCAGCCGAGGTAGCGACGTCACCACGGAAATCAAGAGTAATGCCAACACGAAACTGCACTACCCCTCGCACACCCTTGCCAACCCCTCTCCTTTCTCTCGCTTCATTCGTTCTGTACCTTTCTCATTCCGTCTCCGTCTCCCACCCTCCCTCTCACCGACCGACTTCTCCCTGTCTTTCGTTTCGGCCTTCTCCACCGTTTCTCCGCTACCGTTTCCCTTTCTCTTTTCCTCCCTTTCGCCCACACTGCGATACTGCTCCTCGAGACACTCACCCACCGCCTCTGCATCTCACCTCCCGATCTCACCTACCCCCTGGGGATAACCCCCTTACCGTTCTCTACTGTATGTACGGAGCGGTGGTGTAGAGGCGAATGGGAGAGCGACAGAACGCGTATATGCTGTACTTATACAAGCGCGACTACGCTAGAGTCTTGAGAACTCCGCTTCTTCCCGTGTTTCTTCTCCTTTAGTCTTTCCTTCTTCGTCTTCAAGATTTCTTTCCAGTTCTGTCGTGTAGAGTTACGCGGCATTCTTAAAAGCTCGCAGACGCCGAATCGGGGTTGAGGTTGGGACTAGGCTTGCAAAAATAATGTTTTTCGTCAACTAAAACTCGCCGTAGATTCTTCAATTTATTTTCATCCAAGACAAGCCATGGTTTTCAATTTGTTTTTTGATATTAATTTTTTATAAGTACGTATGAATATCTCTTTGTACCCATGAAGACACTGATGATCGTGAAGTCGCAGAACTGACCTCAATCATCCCAGTAAGAAAAACGAAAGTGAACTGATTTCTCGCTAAAATCCCACTCGTGAAAATGTGGCCATTCGTATGATCGGTCGTGTCTGTGCATCCCCTATAACGGCTTTCAGAAACGTCTTTTAATATACACTATATCTTCGAAGGGCGCCAGGATTTCCCTTCGTTCTCCCGCTGAAGAAAATACACAAGTTACTTGGCTTAAATCCGTCATTACGTCTGTTTTAACCTTGTTCACCCTCCTTCTTTAACAATGTCTCACTCGCAGTACTTCTGTAATTTTTTTTTACTCAGTTCTCTTATTTAATCAACCAGTTGTAGTTGGAGGCAAAAACGATTTAAAAAAAACTTATTGTAGCAGAACTTCAAACACTCTTTTTAAACTTAAAATTCAGGAGCATAATTGACGTCGTTAAGAAAAATTGAGGATGGTTATTTCCAAAATGCTATATACGGGGAATCGATTAGGTAAACTTGTAGGACGGAGTGTGCCACTTTTTTCAGCTATTCTTGACCGATTCGAGAATAATCAAAGTGTGAAGTAAGTAAGTATAATTACGTCAACATTTTGTGAAAAAAATTTATGTGAACTCATTCGAGTTTGGTTTGTTCATGAAGAAATTCGAGTGATCAATAGAACTATTTTTGAATTTTAAGAACAGACAGAACTGTGTGAAACCCAAATATATATAGGAGTATCTTCAACTAATACTACTATACATTCGATTTAATTAATTTCATTCGATTACTTGATAATTAATCTTCTAATCTAAAGTGATAGAATTTACACGCTGCCTTCCATCCTTCTTTCTCATTTCTATTATACTGTATAACATTTAGTTTTTATTCATTGTCTATTTTGGTTTAATTAAATTTGTAATTGTCGAATCCCAAGGCAGTAGTGACAGTAAAATGTGAAAAAAATGTAACAAGGCAAATTATTAAATTTTATTTACAACCGAATACAAGATATTAAAAATTTGTACAATACTTTGCCGATTCACGATAAATACACGCATTACGAAAATGTTTCTAAAGTAATTAAGTACGATTAAGAAAAGTAGTGCTAATTAGTCATTCGTTTGGTAAACAATTACTTGTAAGATATAAAGAGAACATAAACAGAATTAATGATAAATGAAGAAAATGAATTGTGAAATTATAATAAGCGGAATAAAATATTTCGCATGATACAAAAAATTGATATACTGTTATAAATATTAAAACTAGACGAGAATTTTGATTTTATAGTCCTCTAGCGCACAAGAGAAGTAACATTTTAAAGGAACTTCAACAATCAATCTAGTTTGCTTTTACATTGATCGATAAGTTTTCGTCATCCAGTAACGACGATTACTATTTCTGTTCTACCAGCCTACGATACTGCAGTCTACATTACTAAATCAATGCAGAATCTTTGTCAAGTACTGCTAAAAATATTCTGGATATTTTTACAAAATGGAAAAAAGCATATAAAAAATATTAATTAATATAAGTGTCTTCTTTCATGTAGGTAAAACCATTTCGAAGCTCAGCTCTAATTAGGTTCCCCAACCTCTGCATAGCCTGGGGAAAATAGGAAAGTTAGCTATCATATAATGATAACTATTACACCTTAGTCGATATTTAAAAAATATATTTACCAGATCCATCTCCTCATAAGAAGCTTTGGAGAAACTCGCTCTGATAGCATTGCACGGTTTAGTGGAATCTTTCATGAAGGCTGCTCCAGGTGCCATTATAACATTTTCTTTGATTCCTCGTTGCATGATCATCTTCCAAGTATCCTTGATACCTCGTACTCTGATCCAAAGGAAGAAACCACTCTGCGGCAATGAAATATCTGCTAAGCCTATAAAATAATATTCCCATTATATTTCTTTCATTCTGCAATTCATTAATCAATTGGTTTACGTATATAGCATTAATTTGATGTTCCGTTTTACTTTAAAATATTATAATTATTTGAAATGTCTAATGAACTCGAATATTTGTTATCAATGTTTTACAAGTTTAAAAAACACTGTATTTGACTATACGAACCATTTAAATGTTTTTCGGCAATACCGGCGATGAAATCTCTTCGCTGTTTATAAAAATGCCTCGTCCACATGAAATGGTCCATCAGTCCATCGTATCCCCACAGTTTCATCAGTTTGTATAGTATCACCTAGTGACAGCAAGTAATGTTATCGTTCGAATAAATGATTTCTTCTCGGTTCACGGCCAGCGATAGCGGATAAACCATGTTTATATGCGCGATAACAGCCGACACGCGCCACCGTACGTATAAGCTCACGCACGCGTCTACTGATAATTACGTGAAGCGTGCGACGGCGGTCTCCGATATTTTTCACGTGGTTTCATCATACATAAGTGGGAAATAATATTTACGACTGTAACAGCGATACTTGACCATCACCATAATATCTCTATGAAGCGTGCAATGGCATGAGTTTTATACACAATTTCACCGATATCGATGCATTATTCATTCATCGACTTCTCTTCCAGCTTGAAAAAAAGCTCGATTTGTAAAGTGGTTCGTGTCATATAAGCTTCTGATTCTACTGGAGTTTATACAGTCTTACAAAATATTTGATGTCGTTGTAAAAAAATCAATCAAAGATAAGAAGCTTTAATTAATATTTGTCAAGCGATAACCCGAATACGGAATCGCTTTTTTCTGCCAATAAATTCTGCTGATACTGCATTTAGACAATCGCGAACTTGAATACGGTAACAAGACATGGACATTTCTTTTTAATAATTGTAGACTTATTCAAAATCTGTAAAACTTCAAGTACTTGTTTTACGTATATCGCATCTGGATAAAATCGAAAATACAGAATTAGGATACGCATGTATTTAAATATATACAGGATTCTAAGTTTACGGCAGACGCGAACGCTCTCTGTTTCCCTTCCAGTGAAGGTACTATATCAACGGTTAAGGGATGAAGAACCATTCTACCAACCTGGGATAACGTGGGGGCGTGCAAGTGGCTGCTCTGCAAGTGACGTTCTATACTCGCTATTAGGGGAGCTGGCGCCGTGACGAAACCCAATCTGAGACCACTGCTGATCACTTTCGAAAAAGAATCCAACCTGATCACTCTACCTTCTGTGTCTAACGATAAGAACGATTTTGGTTCTACCTGTACAGACAAATAACGCGTTTCTATTATTTGTTAGCAATAATTCACGTAATTAGGATAGAGATCACTCAGAATGTTACTTCAAACGTGAAATAACGAGTTATTTAGAATGATTATGGAACGAAATGGTATTCCGATTAAATTACGCAAAATGATGATTGATGTTCATTGAACAGTATTGCTGCGTATTTATTTTATGAATCTATAATAATAATTAGATTGAAGAATAGAGAGGCTAGAAAATATTTATGAAAGTACCTTATTCACTTAGTGCGCACTTAGCGTAAGCGTTTTGTAATATACATATACATTTTTACGTTGATATCAACATTTATACAAAAATTATAAAACACATTTTTATGATCTGTGAATCGTTGTAAGAGATAAATAGGAAACATGATAACATCACTTACGTCTTCGAAATACATAAAATGATAAGGATCATCATCCAAGATTAGGAAGTTGTACTCGCAGGCTATTCGGTAGATCTCCTTCCGCCTTTCCAACGGAATAACGACACCCGTGGGATTCGTTCCGGTGGCGTTTATGTACATGATCTTCGGCATCTTCTTACCAGACAATTCCCTGTTCCTCAATGTTTCCCTGAGAATTTCTGGGACCATACCTTGTTCGTCCTGAGGGATCGGGATAAGCTCCGTCTGGTAAGGCGCAACCTATAATCGAGAAACGATTTTGCTCCAATCTGTTTCGCCCAATCTTATACTCATAAAAATATTCTTCTTCAAAAGCGATGAAAATTATTCAATACCTCTTATCTATAATTTTTCGTGGGTTATTATATAATAGAAATTGTGTTTATGATCTTTGATATTAGAACAGGTATCGATAACTTCATTAATTATAATTAAAAACGTATGCGAGATAAACTTGGCTAACCTTCTACCGGAAGTTCTTTAGGTTATTCAAATATTTGTTTGATCTCGTGTTTATAATCACACCATTTTATCTCAACACTATTTCAATCGCATTATACGTCAATGCATCATGCGTCAATTTGACATGTTACGTTTGTTAACATTTCTATATCTTTTTTTTTTACTAATTATTAAAAAAGGGAGGATAATTCGTTCTTGTTTCGTATCACGAGGGGCTACCCTTCTGACCTTTAATAATTAAGGTGCGGAATGTATGCGCGAGGAAAATCATGGTAAAAATGTGAGCCAGGAACAATTGACAATTACTGACCACAACATCTACGCCCGGATAAAAAGGATCGTGCACGAGAAGCGGATCGCCGGGGCCGATTATGGCCTCGAGAGTTTTGCTTAATCCGTCCTGAGCTCCGGAGACGACCACGATGTCGCGGCTCTCCCAGAGGGGTGGTGCATGCGCCCTTCTCTGGAACTCCCTCAGGGTCTGAAACCAATTTAATATCCAATGTCGTTAAACATACTGAAGACAATTGCATTATACCCGGGGGAAAAAACGTGAGAAGGAAGCCATTTAAGAGTAAATGTACAATTATCTGACACGCTTTTGAGACACGTAATCGGTTACTTACCTCGTTCTAGTCAGGATTTTTAAAGCGCGGTGTTAAAAAGAAACAAGGGAGAACATATAAAATGTCTGTTAACTCTTAGAGTGTTAGGAATTTATGATTTTTAAATAAAATGTAAACCACAAGATTTTTAGATCTGAAATCAATTTTTTTATCTCAATCAAATTAACTGCGATCTGGTTCTTTTATCGACATTGGATCTATCATCAACAGCGAACGAAATTGTTTCGTTATTATACTATCTATAGAATTATCCTATTATTATATGCATGTTTCTGTAGTATTTCCTGCATTAGTGTTGTGCATAGTAAATGGTAATAAAGTCATACGTTCTGACAAATCTGCGAAATGTAACAGTACTATTCCTTCTACGTTTCGTAATACTACTTTAGCGTCGAATCTCGTTACACGGAGATAAACGAGCTAGATAGTATAATAGAACGTTCACGTAAATTTTACAATGTCAACTAAGCTGTAATTGGTAAATCACATTGTTACACTGACATGCACTTAATTACCTGGAGAAGTGGCGGGTAGCCCTGAGAAGGAATGTATTGCAAAGCCGCCCCCAATTCTCGATCCTCCAGGGTGAAAGACGAACCGTCTTTCAGTTTGATAGAGATTTCTGTGAAAGGGAAGGTTTCTTCGTTCGGCATACCCTCGGCCAATGAGATCACACTCTTCGGCGAAGAATAGGCCAGTTTCGCTGTAGGCGAACACGCGATGGAATCTCGTTAGTCAACTATTTTCCATTTTCTTCGCTAATAGTTACCGATAAATATGATCATTTAACAAAGATTTCCTTACTCAATTCTCTAATGGTCGCCGGCCTCCTCCGCTTCGACACTTCCGTCTCAAACGACGAATAATTCATTCCAAATTCTTCCTTGGTCTGATGCATCTTCGTTCACTTACTATCAACGCACTTTCAGATCTGTACCAATAGTTCGGCACTAGCGTTTAAAGTAAATTGCAAACGTGTAATCGCGACGGGCGAAAGATAAGAAAAAATATATTTTCGTTCGTAAGAAAGTTTATTAACACACTATTAGAAGCAAATTAGAATATGAACGAACATAAAGAAAAACACAATTTGTTTAACAACATGTTTTTTTATGGATTACCAACGCTACCACTATCAACACTGACAGCGCGCTTGGTTTACCCGTCTTTTATATTTGTCGATAGCTTGATTGCGTCAGACATGTTTAACATGTTTAAAAAGGAACACACCGTCCATATACTTACGTAGATACTAGTAGCGAACTACTATTTACCCCTACTACCAAGACTGTGTAAAACCGTTCTAAAATGATGGAATCATTTAGGAATATGAGTCATTCATCGAAATTGATCTAAGGACTTTGTATATTGTCAGTTCTTGATAGTATCATGTAACCATTCATGTATATTTCAGTAAAATTTTACATTTTGTATTAATTACTTATTTACGTACATTTATTGTATATCACTTAAAGAAATTGTAATTTCATAAGTTGGTGAAAGATTGTATTACAAGAATTTAAATAAAATAATATCATTGGTGCAAGACAGTGGCCGTAAACAATGCTTGTGTAATAACATGATACCAACGTAGGCATGGTGTTTTTGCATTGGCGAATTTTTATATAGACATTGATATTTGTCCGTCGACTACAAAAGCAAAATACGTTTGTTTATGTGCTAATGAAAATTTCAATTTCATCATTTCATTCGTCAAATATAACAGAATTCGACTAAGAGGAAAATGGACAAGTTGAATCGATTAGTTGCTTTTAGTTACTTTCGCAATGTTCAGTTGTTTCAGGGGGCATTATTATTTTTTTTGATTGCTAAATTGACGCGAGGGGAAAAACGTTTTCCGGAAAATCTCTGTGTTCATTCATGCGTCAGAACTGTCACGCATCACAAACGTCTGACGAAAAGATTCGCAATATCTGCCGGCGATGATGTAATCAAGTTCACCGATACATACGAGGATGAATGAATGACAAAAATGACAGTGACACTGACCCGCTTCTATTCCCGGTGTCATCATCCCATTCTCATAGTCGGGCATAGGATTGCCAATACGAAAATTCACCGATATCCTCCAAAAAATGCAATCATTTTCGTCGTAATGTCGCGTCGTCATGATTGCCAATCGGGGCTGGGCAAAAAAATTGGAATGAAACTGTATTACTCTATGATAGAAAAAAACTAATCAAATCGAACTAGCCATTTATTAGCGAAACTCCAATATTGGGGTAAAATCCAATATAGCCGGTAAGTAAAATCGAACGAAAATGTCTACCTTCAAGTTTTATAGAAATTTTTTCCTATCATTCGGACTCGATCTCGCATCGGAATACACTATGTAACGAGATTAATTGCCAGTTACGAAACTGCCCGGTATGTATCGTCTTCGGGTTCGTTAGTTGTTTTGAAAGCATACAAAAATGCATACCGTTTCGATCAATCTCTTCTGCCGGGCGTGTTTACTGCGCACGAGTCTACTTTGCTTTCGCCTTCTTTGTGCAATCTCCGCGTACGAAGAAATCGAAAAACAGTGATACCTTTGTGGGAAGCTGGCGAAAGCTTGATAAGCGAGAAATGACGCGAATGACGGATTCTCCGCCCGTTTTCACCATCACGCCGCACCGCCGATCGGGTTTATCGGTGGTTGAGTGACGAGGACGAACGAATCCTCAACGAACCGTGACATTCTGTTGTCAACATTCTCACCGGGGAATGAAAGCGATAATTAAAAACGGTTTCGATAAATTTTTTATCACCCTGTATCGACCGTCTGCTGCGTGTGTAAATTAATACAAATACATATCTACACATGTTACACACTATGTACGTTAACTCTAGCATGAGAGTAACTCCCTCCAGAGATTCTCGGCAGCACGCCAGTCTCTTTATTTTTCGCACTACTACGATTAATCTAACACATGAAATTTCGTAAGCATATGTACGTGCATGATGCAAGAAACGTTCAGAATTTGTCTCGGTACTTTCACAAACAGTTTTATGAAACTAAGGAAACATGGATCTTTCCTTCATTTTAATCTATGAAGTATTCGTTAAGTAAAAATAATAAATAATTGTATTATATGGAATAAGTATATCTTAAATTGTATGAAGGAGGGAAATAATTTTCTATACCTGGTTTTGACGAGTAAGAATGAATTATAATAAGAACATAATAATGAATTATAATAAGAATTTAAGAATGAATTATAATAAGAACGCAAGAATGAATTATAATAAGAAAGTAAAAATTAATTATAATAAGAACGTATAAAATCATATTTTCATTTACGTGAAAAAATAGTATCGACCTATGATCACGCAAAATAAAATAATATCGCATTATCTTGTCATACATTTGACCGATTACGTAACTAGAAAATGAAGCAGACATTTGTGATTGCGAATTTGAAAAGAAATGGTCCAGAGGCTGGGATCACGTTTAAGTTAAATCGTTTAGATAAATTTTGTGAAATTTGCTTTTTAAGAATATTAGTCATACGATTAATTAAATCGTGATTATAAAGATTGGTAACTAAATATTTGAATTTCCCAAGTTCATTGAGGCTTAATAGCTTGCGCTCCCAAGGGATTGAAATCGAAATAAGAAGAACATGCACACAATGACTGTAAACCGGTTCGATAATGTTATTCTATTCCAGTCCGTCGTTCATGTTATTAATGAACCCATGCAGACGTCAGACTGATAATGACAACAACTGCTTCTATTATTAATGAATACAATTTGTTTTTCCAAATTATATTCTACCATTTATAAATATTATCATTGTAGCGTTTTGAATTAGTTGCTATAATTTTAATAATGATACATACATACTTAATTATCAATAAAATTATTGGCTCATCTTTCACGGGTGATAACAATTTGTAAACGACTGCTAATCAACTGGTATCCGAAGGTTATCTGGGTATTAAATAGTAACAAATGTATCGCGACTACGTAACGTGACGTAGAATACATAAAAAGAAATTGATGGATATCATTGGAAATGAAAAAGTGTTAACAAGCATGATGATTCAATCCTATGAAGAATTATGTGATCATCAATTATAATCATAGAAATTGCGTTATCTGAATCTGCAAATTAGACAGTAGTTCCGTATATGAAACATGATGCAACAATCATCGTTCATTAACCACGATAAACAGGTTTGGAGCGATCGTAAAACAATCCGACTATCAACGATTGTGTCGCTTGTCGCGTTTGCCTTGGAACTTACTACATATTTATTCACATAACTACATAATAAAATTATCATCTTCTATGTAATACAACAAACTCAGTGTGTTAATAAACTAAGGGTAAACATTTAGTTACAGATATGGTTTCAAATTAAATCTTTAAATTATTAATAAGAAAGAATAAATTATTGATTATCGTAGTTTCAGAAAGGTTTTTATAACATAAAAATCGAAAAATATAAGTTGAGGTTCATTTCATAGAAACAAAAGTTCTTTTACTGTTCAGTAAAGTGGAGAGCGATTGAGTAACTGTCCAGGCCACATTTCTACTTTCATTCCTTAACTCTTCATAGTAGCGACATCTTACTCTTATAGGCACAATATGGTCAAGTAAGAAACCGCTACTTTCCAATCTCTCCAAATGGAAGAAGATTGAAATATATATAAAAGTTACATCAATAGGAAATTTCATCATGGATGTATCAGAAAAAAATTCATAGTGGCCGATCACGTAAAGAGAAATAAAAGACATGTAGCGTTCAATCGTGTCGTCAGACTTTGAAGAAACTAGTTCGCGGATTGGTAGGCGACGGAGATGGAGAAACGTACTTAACGAGCGGAGAAGTTCATTAAAAGCGAAACGACATTAGCCGACCTAAAATCAACTCCCCAACGATTCCGTTTACGGCTATTTTCCACTTGGAACGCCACCTCCCTTGCCCGGTAACTCAGCTCTACAGGTGAGATGGAAAGAGCTGGCCATCAACGAAGGAGACGGATAGGTGAGCGAAGCTAGATGAAGAGTAATGACGACGGCGACGACGAAGATTCGAAGCGAAAGAAAGAGGGAGAAATGAGACGAGACGAGGACATAGAGGAGGCTAGAAAAGGATGTGGAACAGGAATAGGAGGAGAAATCCTGTCGCAGTTCTCCGAGCAAAGAGTTGGAAAAGAAAGAAACGATAGGTCTGCCGATAGGAAATAGATCCTCACGATTGGCCGTAGAACGAGACGAAGATCAGGAGGCGAATGCGAAAGGGGGACGAAAAAAAAGGCCCATCTCCTCAAAGGAGATTGTCTTCCTTCGAGTGCCTTTAAGCCCCATCCCGGTGCCGGCTGTCGTTAGCCTTAATAGAAACCACTCAGTGACTATGAATTGCCTACCGATTATGCTGCAAATTTCATTATTTTCCTGCTGGAAACGGTGTCGTGTCTCGTCTCGCATTGGTCGATCGTCGAGGATTCGTCGAGAGGAGGCGCTCGGAGTTCCTCGGGGACCGGTCGCGGGGAAATTTCCTTCGGCGGGCACGAGATTATTGGAAAAAATCGTGTCACCCGGTGAACTTTGCCTGGCTACGAGATAAAAGCGTTCCTCTTAATCGTTTCAACGATATAGGTGACACCCTGTTTCGTAACCGATCGCAGAATTATCGCTGTGCTGACGTAAGGAAGCCTGGAACTTCATCTTCCCGCGTGATTTTCCGATCTCCGTTCCTTGTTACGTATCAGAGTTGAAGCGCGCTACAGCAGACGATTCGAGGAAAATTGTCAGAACAAAAACAGGACGCATTGTTTAACATGTCATCACGCTGAACGAGTGTCTCCAAACACCTAAATTCTGTCGCTAAGAAAGGTTCGAAACGATTCGTTGAATAGGTTCGAATGTTTCCGCGCATTCATTCGGCTCTGCGCTTAGGAGATAGTTCTGTATCTTATTCCAGGTCGCAAGCCGAGCCCTTCACGCCCCAACGTTACCTAATTGGGTGCACCCCGCGGTCGTGCCATTATACGGGGTGTCAAAATACTCTCTTTACCTTCGCACATAATCCTCCGTGCACCTATACATCCCCCCTTCCTCCCTTGGCCTCTTCAACCACCGTCCTCCTGTGGTTCGTTGGGACAAAGAAGTATACGTACTTGTATCTCAAAGCGGCCG